TAACGAACTACAACGAACGACCGACCAACGACTTCTCTTTCTTCCTTCCCTACCTACGTAGTTACTTCCTACACTACACGTACGTCTCTCTCTCTCTCTCTCTCTCTCTCTCTCTCTCTCTCTCTCTCTCTCACATACAAACAATAGTCCAACAATTGTAGTACAGATTCTCTTTTTTTTTATCGGTATATGGGGCTACGGGACTACGGGACAAGCATGGGATAGCTACCTCCTGGTTTCCACTAGAATTGAATTCTCCTTACACCTTAAGCACTGTACTTTTATCATTGGATGAGAAGAAGTATGTCATCCTTTAGAAGTACTTGGATGTTACTGGTGAATTTTCACACTCTAAAATCATTCATCCGTGCGGCTGCTTAATTCACTTTACACTGTTCGAGTTGCTATGAGTTTGTCCATCTCCTTTTGGAACCATGTGACATTACTTTTGCAAAAGAGACAAGCATCTAACTAAAGAAATCAGAAAAATGAAAATGTGGTCGAAATTTCTGCATTACAATTGTTATGTTCCCATTCTCTGTGAACTCTTAAGTTTGTTAGTTTGAAGACTATTTACTTTATGACAACAGCATATGAGAGGTGCCACACCATCGTGTGACTTTGGAACACACTGGATTTTTTTTTGCATCATGACATGTTTGTATCCCTTAATGCAACCTTGGCTGTTTTCTATGTCACAAAATGCTTTTTTACTAATACACTAGTGCACTACAATGCAACTAAATTATACATTCAATGCTGCTTTGGATATCTGACTTTTGTTATGTTTTGCAGATCCGAGGAGCTAAAGGTCCAATATTTGAGGATGGGCCCAATTTCAATCTGGCATTCAGGCTATTCCATGGTTGTGATGGAGCCGTTCCCCTTTCAGGGAGGTCATTTCCCTCTTCTGAGATTTCAGAGCCTCCCTATCCCACTCCTCAATTTAACCCTTTGGCAGCAAAGGCAGCCACCATTAGCCTATCCGCTTTTGGACCTGGTGGGCCCTTCAGCTTCGACGCCTTTAATGACAAATGGAAGAAACAAGAGAAAAAGCCCTGCAAGAAGGAACCCTCTAAACAGGTAAAAGACCATTTTAATAATCTGTTCTTATCCTCTTCAAAAAGAAAGAAGACAAATGAAAAAGAGTTTGCTGCTTGTGTTACCAAATCCAACTTTATCAATGCTTTACAACAAAAAAATTTATATCAATGCTTTAGCCCTATCTTAGCAGTCAATAGCTATTTGACATTGATGCCCTGTTGGTTGGTGATTCGCAACACAAGCTTTAGTTCCACAATATTCATTCTTGAAGTAACTGGTTTAATGGATAGTTGCATAGTAACGATGGGTTTGAAATGCAAATTATATCAGCTAATCTGTTGCACTAGTTTGACTTATAGTGAGATTTGCTATTAAATGATTACCATATTAACATGTAGCACGTTTTTGGGTGATCTTAGCATTGTCTCTTTAGTTTTTCGACCTTGTTGAACAGCTTAATATTAATGGGCAATCCTTTCCAGTCGGTGTTTTATTTTTCAGAGTAAAAGGATATTGCGAATAAACCCTGCCTTCTCTTTCTTTTCTTTCTTTTGTTGAGACAAACCATCTGTGATTGAGAAATTTAAAGAAGTTCCAGTTTTCAATAAGAAATGCGAATTCTGGTGAAGTTTGAAATTAGGAAATTTTATCAAAATACTCATACGAGATAAACTATTTAACATTTGAGCCTTTTGCAACTATTCCAAGTCATGATCATGTGTCATATGATAGGTATTTTGAAATTAACTCAAAAGATATGGATGGAGTGTTAAATAACTCATCTCTCATGGGTATTTGGATAAGTTTCCATTGAAATTATATGAGAGAACTGTCTCCAGCTTCAGTCGTGAGGAAGTATGTGTTTGTGTTGTGTTTCGGGAGTCAATCTAATGAGAAAGTTTGTGGTTCAGGTGTCTATGTGTACGTGTGCGTGTGCATGCATGTGTGAACATATTTGGTAGTTCTGCCAAAATTCAGAAAGCCAGTGGCATGGTACTGTCATTTGAAAGGATTGCTGCTTTTGTAGTTTACTTGGTTTGTTTGACCAGTCTTCACCATACACACCATGAAATCCAATCTCTCACTTTCTGTCTCTCCCCCTCTCCACCAGGCAGACTCTCATGAAGCCATGGGCAATGAGTGGCTTGAGACCGGAAACTGCCCTATCTCCAAGTCATATCGTGCAGTGAACCGAGTCCTACCCTTGGTTGCCAAAGCCCTTCAACCACCACCAGGCATGAAGCTCAAGTGCCCACCAGCTGTGGTTGCGGCTAGAGCTGCCTTGGCTCGAACTGCCTTGGTAAAGACCCTGAGGCCCCAACCCTTGCCTGCAAAAATGCTCGTAATTGGAGTTCTTGGAATGGCAGCCAATGTGCCTTTAGGCATTTGGAGAGAACACACTGAAAAGTTCTCTGCCTCTTGGTTTGTAGCTATACATTCAGCTATCCCCTTCATAGCAATGTTGAGGAAATCAGTTTTGATGCCTAAGTCAGCAATGGCATTTACTATTGCAGCTTCAGTTCTGGGGCAAGTTATTGGGTCAAGGGCTGAGCGCATTAGGCTCAAGAGGAAGGCACTCTCATCTGAGATGATGGGGAAGGTAGAGAGTAAGGATGTCAATGTGGAAACAAAGGAAAAGATGGTGGGTTTAGGGGGTTTAAAGAGAGGAGAGATGATGACATTAGTAGGAGGTTATAATAGAGATATTGAGAAAGAAGGGATAACAAAGGTTGGTACAGAGCAGAAGCGGATGGAAGCAATGGGCAGGGCAACTTTAACTGGTGTGAGCTTGGAGCAAGTGGGAAGGGATGATGGTTTTGTTGGGCATGCTATAGAAGTTGGGCGAGAGGGTGGCGATGGGCTGCGCAATGTAGCTGTATGCTTTTGAATCATGGTTCCCTCGCCCTCTCTATTCGAGTGATCGATCTTTCCCTCGTGTTGAAAGCATACAAGGATGGTGGAACCGGCTTTGTCCAGAAACTACAGATTCTTTGTTTTTTGTTGGGTAAAATCAGTGGGGATTACGAGCCCCTACCCAATTATTTATTCTTTTATTTATTTATTATTGAACTAGAAAATCTTGAATAAGATGTATTCAGATCTGTAATTGAATGATATATTTGTTTCCTTTTAATATGAATGGATAGTTTGCTAGTATGGCTTGTGAGATTTCTCTCCTAGTGCCCAAACAGCCCCTCAATGCTTCTATCAAAGAAAGAAGTAGGGCAGGCTTGCTTTAAAGAGTGGTCTCATGGGATGTTATTGTACACGTAACTCCTGAGATGGATCACCAATTTACTTGTTTTTTTTTTTTTTTAAGTGAATGGCAACGTTAAGGTGGTTATATTCCTAGAATCGTGGATCTTTATCATGCTCCTACATAGTCTTTTACTCTAGGACCATGCACTTGTAGCAATATAGGAGTGGGAATATTTGTTATTGCATGTGTACCCTGTAAATATAGGGTAAGTATATAAAGTTTGGAGAAAGTATAATTGTTGACCCGAACGCCCCATTGAAGCTCTTAGCATCATTCTTGCACGCCACATGACATCTAAGCCATTTGGTGTTTTATATTTGGGTGCGGTTTGTATAGAGCACTCTAAACAATCAAATTAGAGCCTATCTTCAAATAGTATAGTATCGAGAAATGTAGTTTTAATATTGAAAATCTTTATAATAATCTTAAAATTTATTTTTATTTTTAATTATAAAATTTAAAGCTTAAAAAATCGTGTAAATTGACCAAATCTACTAACACTTGAAAATCTTGAAAATTGACCATCCAAAAATACGTTACAAGATGCACTATTTTCAAAACTTAAAATCCACTTTTTTCTCTTGAACATGCATCTTGATGACGAGATGATGAATTTGAGGATATTTGGGCATCAAAACAACCTATTCGAGTAAAATTATGGGAAAGTTTCGTATAGAACTTTAATTCCTCATATTATTTCATGGTAGACCCACTTTTCGTTTTTCCTTCAAGTGGCATAAGGAAACCCCAAGGATTTCACCGTACCACGTCATCTCTTATCTTCATTTTTTATTGAGTTTTGACTATAAAAATTAGTCCCAACAAATATTTTTATACTATTTCAACCTAAAAACTTTTTTAACCATTTTTTTCTCTTTAAGCCCATTAAAAAAGTTTTTGGGTTGAAATGGTATAAAAAGATTCGTTGGATTAATTTTTATGATAAAAAATCAATAAAAGAGGAAAATAAGAGATGAAGGGGTACAGTAAAATAAAAGAGGGAGATAAGAGATGAGGGGATACAGTGAAATCTTTAAGAGTTTCTTTATACTGCTGGAAAGAAAAAACGGAATGAGGGTATATCATGAAATAATATGAGGAATTAGGATTCTATACAGAATTTTCCCTAAAATTTTTGAGGTAGGCTTTAATTTGATTGTTTAGAGCTTAGGATCTATATAATTTTTTTTTTAACCTTTTCAATATTCTGAATAAAAAAAAGAAAAAAGGGAGAAGAGAGAATCTGGCAGGGGGTTTAGATTTTTTTAATATTCTCGAGAAAGAAAAAAGAGAGAGAGAATCTGGCTTTGGTTGGGTTTTAACAATGCTTTTTGGGTTGGGGTGGGGCCAAACCCGAAAACATATTTTTTGGGCCCGCCCATTATTAAAAATTTGGCTTTTGTTCAGCCTGGTTGCATCCTTAATTAGGCCTAAGTGCCTTAAGTATATCGTATTATCAAAAAGCCCATACTAGTTCAAGATTACAAACACGGAATAAGGGCAATTTTATTATTTTCATAAATTTTCTTAGGTACTTAAATAACAATATTTTTAGAAACTAATTTTATTTAACCACAACGTTGATTTTTCTCGGTGGTTTATCCATTTTAATGGTAATTTTTATGGGTGAGATTTGTATTAGGCACCCTTCTTTTTTTATTTTTTGATAATATTGTATTTTTATATTATAGAAGTACCGTACAGCTCTAAAATTTGTTTAGAGGATGTAGTTCCAATATCAAAAACTTTATGATGACTTGAAAAATTTAAGAAATTTATAATTTAAAATTTCAAAAATAGATGGTCCAGAGAACTAATTACATGATGCGGTATTTTTAGGTCTTGAAATTATTTTCTCTTCATATCCGCATATCTCGAGGTCAAAATAGTCAACCGGAAGGTTCTCCAATATCGGAGCACTCCCTTCTAAAAGATTCTTGATGCGGCACCTTACTTCAATAGTATAGAGTTACAAAATTACTCTTAGTTTATCTTTTTCTATTTTATTATATATTATTTATTAAGTCGAGAGATACATCCTCTATTTTTTTTTGTCAAATGTCCCATTTTTTCTCTTCCAACATAAATCCCTCCCCCACCCATTTCTCTCTTCTCTCTCTCCCTCTTGCACTTTTCCTTAAATCTCTTCCCCTGTTTTGTGTCATGTGTCACATCTTTACTCATTCCTAATAAATCACCCACACCTATTATTTTGTTCTTAATAAATCTCTCCCTTCCCTACACCACACGATTTTCTTTCTCTCTCCCTCTTACATCTTTCCTTAAATGTCTTACATCTTTTTAAAATTTTCCGTTTTTTCTTTCTTATTTATATCATCTACGGTTTCCCTCTCTACTGTTTCTATCTCTCTCTCCCTCTTTCCTAAAATCTCTTTCCCATTTATTTTTTTAAACTCTCATATCTCTCTCTTATTTATATCATTTATTGTTTCCTCTACCTTTTTGATCTCTTTCCCTCTTTCACTAAAATCTTTCTTCCATTTATTTCCTTAAAATCTCTCCCTCTCAAAGCTCACTCTCAACCGTTTCTCTCTCTTTAATATCTCCTTCTTAAATGTCATTCTCATCTTTTTATTTTCTCTATCTTGTAGTACCTCCCTAAAACGTATAATAAAGAAACCCACTATTTCTCTCTCCCTCTATGTGATAACTCCCATATTAAATCTCTTTTATAATATTTCCCCTATTTCACTCATCTTTTTCTCCTTTAATCTCTCCATCAATTTCTCCCTCCCAAACTATCTTTTTAAGAAAAACCTCTTCCATCATTTCTCACCATAAACCCTCACGCACCAGCCCAAAAGCCTATCATGTCCTACCATATCCTAGGAGAAAACAATGTATTTATCTCTCTCTCTAAAGTTCGTTTCTTTACTGACCTCTCACAATGATTTTTTAGCTCAAAAATATTTTCCTAAGAGAAAGGTAAAAGTTACGATATCTGTCTCTATCGCAATGTAGTATATTTTCAAATTGTAATTTGATTTTTTACATGTAGAACATAAGTGGTTTAATCTCTCTCAAAGGTCATAAAACTCAATTTGATTAAAAAAACAAAGGATTTAGATTCTTGAATAGTTCTATTTTTTTATATTACATACTTGAACATAGTAACAAAATAGTAGTATATTTTTAAAATTGTAATATGAATTTTTTTACATATAGAAAATAAGGGGCCTGATCTCTCTCTCT